AGGATTAATCCTCAGAAGAAGCAAAATGAATAAAAATATGAGATTATAATCTGACTTCACCCATATAATGTTTTATGTTAATCAGTGATGAGTAAACTTAAAAACCAGAAACACTTGGCCTAGTTTATATCAGTGAATCATATGAAGTATGTAAGAATATCTTTAGCTGTATGGAAGAAAGTATGTAAGAAAACGATACCTGATTTAAAGTAATTTCTTTCTAAAAATAAAAACATATCATACTTCGTAATTGATTCTCTGAGGCCATCTTACCTTACTTCCAAATCCTTATTGAGACATTAGAAAAAATAAAATCTCCAAACAATTATCTCTTTTTTTTTAATTTATTTTAATTTATTTTGCAATACAATTCAGTTCTACATATCAGCCACGGATTCCCTTGTTCTCCCCCCCTCCCGCCCCCCTCACCTTCCCCCCAACCCCCCCCCCCCATTCCCATCTCCTCCAGGGCAAAGCCTTCCCCACAGACTGAGGTCAACCTGGTAGATTCAGTCCAGGTAGGTCTAGTCCCCTCCTCCCAGGCCGAGCCAAACAATCCTGCATAGGCCCCAGGTTTCAAACAGCCAACTCATGCAATGAGCACAAGATCTGGTCCCACTGCCTGGATGCCTCCCAAACAGATCAAGCCAATCAACTGTCTCACCCATTCGGAGGGCCTGATCCAGTGGGGACCCCCTCAGCCATTGGTTCATAGTTCATGTGTTTCCATTCATTTGGCTATTTGTCCCTGTGCTTTATCCAAATGAATGGAAACAATTATCTCTTATCTCAGAAAAAAACTATTAACATATGAAATCCAACAATATATAATAGAATTTTTGACCATGGCCAACTGAACTTTACCTAGATGTGGTAAGCTGGCTTAACAGGTGAAAACCAGTGAACATACATTTTATCAGTACACTAAAAAGAAAATGACATGATTATATCCCTCAGACACTAAGGCATTTTGACCAAATCCAAAAGGTCAATCCTGATTTTAAAAAATCTCAGCATATAGGAAAAAGTGGGAACATCCTTCAATTTGGTAAAAACACATATGCAAACAACATACAGGCAACAATTTATTTAATATTGAGAAACAGAAACAGAGCAAGAATCCCTCCTTTTATAACTCTTATTCAATACTCAACTTGAAGTCTTAGCTAATAAACAGGATAAAAATAAAAATGAAATGTGTGTGCAGAAAGTAATAACTAAAAAGACAAACTAACTTTACTCATAGATAATATGACTTAGTATGTAAAAAATCATGAAGAGTGAACAACAAAAACTGCCGTGAACTAGCATGAATTAAAAAAAAAATTCCCCACTCGGGAGGCAGAGCCAGGCGGATCTCTGTGAGTTCGAGGCCAGCCTGGGCTACCAAGTGAGTCCCAGGAAAGGTGCAAAGCTACACAGAGAAACCCTGTCTCAAAAAACCAAAAAAATAAAAAAAAATAAAAAAAAAGATTCCCAATATAAAGTTAAAATAAAAATGCTCTTTGTATATCAAAGAATAAGTGAGTGATATTTCAAATTAAAACACATTACTATTAGATGAATACCCAAAAACCCCAGTTAAATGTAAACATTACAAAATATGTACAAGACTTAGCTGAAGAAGACTGTAAAATTCTAATGGACGGATTAAAGAGTATGTAAATTAATGAAGCCATGCTCTTTAATTTATGCCGTTAAAATTCTAATTGCCCTATGCATCCCTGAATGAAAAGAATCAACAGAATGTGCATGCAACTATATTATAAAAAAAAAATTCATTACATTGACTCATGTAGTATAAGGCATTTAGACAATGCTCAACTATGTGCTGCAAAGGCTGAGAACTATTTCCCAATCCAGGAAGGATGCCTTTGCAGTTCCAATCTAATCCTGAAAGTCTTGGGAATTTGCTGGAATTGAGTCCACGTTGAATGTCTGAAGAGCTGGACTCTAATGTCAGCAGGTGGCAAAAGCAAAAGAAGCAATCACTGTGAGAAATGAGACTTGACACCCTGTATGTTGCATTTATCCTACTTCTTCATTAGAACAATTTACCCCATTGATAATCTCACCCTTCTTCATTGGAGCAGTTTACCCCACTGATACTCTCACTCTTATTCAAGGCAGGCGCTTCCTCTCTATTGACTGTCTGACATGTCAAACCTATCTGAAAAAGTCTTCATAGCCATGCAGATGCATTGTACAAGTTCTACGCATCTTCTACCTAGTTACATTGTCACTTCAGATCAACTATCACACTAGCTCTTTACAGCTTGGTCATTATATATTCACTATAATCTAACAAACCCCCTACCAAGTTATTTTCTGAATAAAAAAACCAAGCAGTTTATATGAAAGATGAAAATGTACAGAACAATCATTATGCAACATTAAAGGAGGAAAATAGAACACTGACAGCTCAAGGCTTAATAAAAAGATACATCAATCAATGAAATATGGTATTGATAGAGGCTTTTAAAAATCAGTGGAAAATGGGATCCAAATGTATAACATGTAAATAGATTTAAGGAGTAAAGACATTGTCATAGAGGAAAAGATAGATTTTTTTTCAGTATGTGTTTCTAGAAATATTCATATTCACATCCATATATATTTTAAAAATCTTGAGGTATACCTAATCCTTTAAAAAATGAACTCAAAGAAAAATATGGGGCCGGAAAAACACAGATAAAATCTATGCATCTACTGCTAAATGTAATATACTGTACTACTTAGGTACTCTTAATGTCTATAAATCCAGGAAAGTGGTATTTTAAAGTCTATTTCATAAATTACTAAAATGTTTTAAATACAACTTACATGATATTTGATCCCCTGAAGCAAATATGTTAAAAAGATTATAAATATCTAAAATACTTTAGGCATAGTTCATTTAGAACAACACTCTTTAATTCATAATATAATTTTCATTAAGCTATCAAATTAAACACTGACTACATTAATGTTAATACTCCTAAACATGTTCATAAGAAGTAATAAATTAAATTTTATCATTTAAAACCTTCAAGGATAATAAAATTAAGAAACAAGAAATGTTTTATGTTAATCAAATATTTTGGTATACATATAAATCTTCTGATTAAATTAATTGACTTGGTTGTGTTTTAAAAAAATAATCCCTATATACAAATGATTAATTTAAGATTTTCATTAAGGCTGTGATACACACAAAATGATAAATATGCCTACATAAATATTTGTCAAATATGTTAATGTTGCTTTTCTTTTCATAATTGAAATTACAGAAGATATAACCCCACAAATTATAACATTCATAATGTAAGTAAGCTTACTTCATCCATGTCTTTTAAAAGTTTATTCATTTAGTTTCAAAAGTTTATTCATAGCTAAGACAATATAATACATCTTAATGATAATTTTTAACTAAGAGTTGTATCATTAATATGTAAAAACTATTTACTCTATGCCTGTGCTCTCCCCTCTTAAAAGAAAGAAAACAAAACAACTTTCTCCCCAAGTTTCTTATTTTTGCCAATTTAAGACCATAAAGACAGGAGGCTAAAAAGAAAAAAAAATGATCTCCAGGATTTCTAACATGTTTTGCTTGAGTTTCAAATACAGCTTCCTGTTAATTTATTTGAAATATAGATATCTTGTTAAAAAGTAAGGATTTTCTAAATTCTGCCAGCTCAAATATATATATATATATATATATATATATATATATATATATATGAAACACTACAAACAAATCAAGTAAAATGTAAGATATTAAAATTTATGAATGTAAAATATGTTTTGGTAAGAAGATTTTATATGAATTTTAAAAGTAAACTTTTATATGAGAGGGGATTTGATGCATCGATTTTATTTTAAGGTAAAAGATTTTTCCAAAATAAAAATAAAAAGAAATTGAAAAAAACTGAAAGTTAATGTGTATCATAAAATGATTTCTAAAAGTTAAAACCTGGCAATAGTACATTGAGTCAGTGAGATGGCTCAGTGGGTAAAGGCACTCAAGGATCTGAGTTTGATCCTCAGAATTCACATGCTAGAAGGAGAAACTGACTTCTACAAGGTATCCTCTGAACTTCCACATATATGCTGTGGCACACATATTCCCAACACACACACACACACACACACACACACACACACACACACACACACACACAATTTAAGCAAATATGAAAGTCATATCGATATATAAAAACTTGTTTATGGAGCAAGGATTTTATGTTTTATCAAAATAACTGCTTATGGTTTTTAAACAAGAAACTCTGTCCTAAAAGAATAAAAATTTGTTTAAAAGTATTTGTCAAGCTTTATCTTAGTGTTATACAACGAACTTTATTCATTCTTCAATACTGTTATAACCAACAGTCTCAGTTTTCAATAACCATAGTTAGATCTCAATCAATGAGGCTAAAAAGGCTAAAAGGAAAATAAATATGCTGGCCATTGCTTCTAGGTCAACAGATTACCAAGGGAGCAGAGAAGGAGGCACCTTTAAGAGTGTCTTATAGCTCCAGTAAATCAGCTGTCTTCCTGATCATAGAGGACGAGGAGAGAGATTTCCAGGATTGTACTGTAACCAGTGCACACTCCACATGATGAGGATCATCACAGAAGGAAATTTTTCAATGATTCCAAGGAAAGCCATGGTTAATGTACCCTGCCCCATCCCAACAAATGACATAACTTCTAAAGAGAAATTAAAAGAGCCAAAAAAAGAAGGCTGAGAGGAAGCAGATTTTAGCTCCCAGCTTTCTGAGTACAGCACTGTTTATAAAGATTCAATTTCTGTTTTGTTGTTAATTCTTGGAGGTGCCATGGACCAAAGTCTGATTTTGCTATGAGCCTTAGGTCTGGTAACATGGCAATGTTAAATTCCTGTCCGAGGCTTTAGCATGTCACAATCGCTGTGTGTCTCTAATTTTCATCATTGCTCATTCTACTCTAGTTCCTGTGTCTGTTGTACTTATCTGTCTACCCAATGCCCCCTTTTCACTTACTTGTCTCCTGAAAGCCCAGTACCTGTCTTCAGGTTGTTGGTCCAGAAAGAAGTGAGAGGAGATCATGCCCCTTATCAAGGCTGCCAGACTGCTGACCATCAGCTGAGTCTCAGGTGGGGCTCTGTGAGGGCCTGGGCTAAACTCCTCCTAAGGACCAGGCACCTCCCTTTTCCTTCCTGCTCATTGAGGTTTTGTTTCTTTCATGCTTATATTTTTTTTTCTTGTTGCACTAGAATCAGGGTCCCTTGTGTAAGTTCCTGTAGCTAGAAAAACTAAAAAAATTGTTTGAGAAGTAATCTCAAAAACAGATTTATTGGAATTTTAGAGAAATAAACAAGGGAGGTCACCTGCAAATCTTATTAGCTGCCAAGAGGAGGGGGTTGGGTAAGAGGAAGAATGTCATAATTTCTGAATCAGATCTTTAAATAAAAAAGCAGGCAGCCTCAGCAATGGTGTTAACAGGATTGTAGTTACATCCTGTGCCCCAAAAGCCAGGCTCTGCCATCCATCCTTGGTAAGCCAAATACATAGCAAAAAGCAGGAAAAGGTTTCATTCAATATGAGCACATATGGAAAAAGCATAAAGAGATTCAGAGATATCTTGCCCCCCCCCCATGTTTATCTTTGTGATCCTTAAAGGAAGTAAGTTTTCAATAGAAGAAAGAGATGTATAAATAAGCAATCTGGCCAAGGTGGGGCCCAGTGAGTATCATTGTTTCAGCTCCAGTTTCTCCTGTGAGGTCACCTGCAAGGCAAGCCACTGGGCACTGTCCTGAGGGACTCTCTTAATCAGACAGTTTGAACTGTTAAGACCTACCCTAGGTATGGTCAACAACCTTCCGATGGCTGCCAACATAAAAGGATATGGGAGAAGGAAAGTTTGGCTTTCCACTGCCTGTTTCATTCTTGCTGGAAGTTTGTCTGTTCCACTGCTGTCACTGCCACCTTTACTGAATTACTCAGAAGAATGTAACTCTCCCTTTGATCTTTTCTGTCCCTTTTGTGAGCATCATTTCCCTGACACTTTAGACTTTACTCTTTTTCTAAAGCTGTCCTTCCTGCTAGGTGGCTGCTTATCCACCATGTGGCTGACCTCCATGCAGCATAACTCTAGACATGACCTTTTCTCTCTCTGCTCCTAGATTTATAACCTGTCTGCCCTGAGATTGTTCTTTCAAATACAAGTAAAATTTCCTTTGAGTTTCTTTTTGAGTCTATTCTTAAATTATTTTATTAATGAGACAAGGAGCTCTAATAGGGCACCACAACTTCAATGTTAACGGCTACAGTTTCACTTCACCCTGGTAAATCTATAGGGTGACACTTATCCATTCCCAGAAACAGTCACTTCCAAGTCTGTGCTGTGTGGGTGGTGCTCATTGAATGAAAAAATAAAATGAGGACAGGACACGACTAGGTATGGTAGATGAGAAAGTTTATTGTAGATGTGAGGCAGAAAATAGTCAGAGGCATCTGGAAGTGGCCAGACTAAACAGGGCCATTGGGGAGGGTGGAAAAAGGAAGAGAAGATGAAGAGGAGCTGTGATGCTAAAGAACAAGAAGCAAAAAGACTGTGTGTCCAAAATGGCTGAGGTTATCCAGGGAAGAAAAGCTGGAGAAAGAAAAGCAGAAGCCCAGGTCAAGGGCTGGAGAGACTCACTTTAGGGGATAGATTGAGAAGTGCTGAGAAGATCCAGGACTCTGCAACAGGTAACTGTGATCCTGGGGGATGGTGGGAGAACCTGGAAGCTAGTATCTGCCTGGATATGTTAAGTAGACATCTCAGCCATTTGTCCAGAGATTGAGACCTTACATTACTACTACTCACAAGGTGGTGTTGTCCTGTCCTGTACTCGTAGGAGTGCAAATATCTTCCATTATCAAACCAGAGTCCAGAGTAGCTTGTAAAATGGACTCTTTCAGGACAAGGCACAGCATGAAAAACCCATGCTGTAGTTCTTTCATTTGTATATTAATATATATAAAAATGATTTTTTTCTATTTACTCTTCCCAGATAATTACAGTGAACCAGTGAATCTTGAATAAACAACAAAGAAAATTTCCATAATCTTTCTCTATCTTTTCAATGATTTATATTTTTACATTCTGTTAAGTCTTGCATTAGTGTTTCTGTGCTTTGGTATTTAAAAGCTATGATCCGAGAAGAGTTAGGATCTGTCTTCTATACCTGAGATTTCAGAGAATGAGACAACACTGACTATAAATGGAGGGAGCACAGTATTGTGCTTTATGAAGTAGACAAAGACTTCTCTCCACAGTACAAACAAACAAACAAACAAACAAAAAACAACTAATTTGACAACAACAACAAGGTGTTCCTACCTCAATGGGAATAAGATGATTTACTCTACAGCTAAATATGAGTAATGATTCAACTTGCTGCAAATATTGTATTCCAATATGAACAGTAGCAGTTCAATAATGTTTTCATAATCACAGAGAAATGAAAATCATGAATCAATTCACTTTTCAACCTGTTGGTGGAAACATGAGTGAGGCAGGCTACATCAAAGGGAGGAAATCTCTATTAGGGCTCAGATCCTATCTGATGATATTTTTAACCTTTGAATTGGTAGAATATAAGGGTTTGCTTGTATTTTCTGAAATACTTATCTCCCAGTTACAAAGTTGTTAGGTCTAATACAGAAGTGAACACAAAGGACTATTTAGAGGCTAAGATAGCCCCAAATAACTTAGTGACAATGTACAGCATTTTAATTCTTCAAAATAAATAGAATTCTAATCAGTCAGCTTTGGAGGAAGCTTAATGTAGATTTAGCCTTCCCTCCCCTCCCCTCCCCTCCTGGAAACTTCAGTTAACATTTCCTGTTATTTAAGCCACTCCTGACCTGCTACTGAACAGACACATTCAGTTTCATTTCTCAGTCAAAACTCATTTCTAGGAAATGCTTATTTATAACCACAGATAAAAGGAGTGTTAGCGGTCAGCTGAATGTCTGTTGATTAACCAATGTTTTTGTTTGTTTGTTGTTTGTAAGCTAATTTCTCCTACACTTTCCTGTTTCTTTCATTTTTTCTTTTACTGTCACGAATTTGAAGTAAGAAGACTTGGTGGCACAGTCCTTTTTCTGTTATGTACAGTGCATCGTGAAAGCTTCCCCAGGCCTCAATGTTATTGTTTATGGAGACTGGCATGTTATTTAGAGTAGAGCCAGCATGAAAGGAAAAGTGCTTCACTCCATCTATCCCGGGATGGGCTGAGTCCCAAAGGACACTTTAGAAAACAGCTATGTAAGTAGCCAGACCAACTACTGGTAAGCTAGGAGCCCCCTCTGGAGAGAGTCAAGTAACCTCCTTACTCTCTGTTAATCTACACACTTTCTCTAGAAATGTGGTTATTTGTCCTATAAACAAATGCCTAAATTTATCTCATAAAGTAGGCGTGGAGGTAAAAATGTTTTCACATTCAAATCAAAGTTGTTTAGCCACAAATCTCACAGGAATGTATTTTAAAAATATTATTTTCCTAATGAATTACTTGAGGTTTCATGGAGTATTTCAACCTCCTATATGTTGTAACTTCTTGGAATTTCCTTCCAATCTAATCATATTCTAAACTGGAGAATGTTTAAGTTACTTATAAATTCATAGTCCATTCCCAGCTCTAATCATTCAGATAAATGATTATTTCCCTTTTAACTACCTTGGAGAAAATGTCTCCAGCTTCCCCCAAATCCTTCTTCCAAACCCCAGTTCCGATGGTTTTCGTTTTGGAAGATGTCATTCTGTCCTCAGCCCTGAACTTTTCTCATCCATCTGTAGACTTCTTCATTTGCTATCCCACACTCTTGGGCCTTGTACATAGCCTTAAAATGTCTTATTTTGCACCTCACTGAAGAATCTCAGGGTAGAAGACAGAGCTCCTGGTGAACTAACTTCTCTCACCAGTGGACTATGTAGCTAGTACTTGGCAGGAAGGAAGCAGTGCAAGTGTAGAGAGCTCCAAGGAACAATCTTACAAGACTGAGCAACTTTATGAAAAGAGGGACTCTGAGACAGGTTGTTATTTAAGAAAGAGATCTATTAGATCAGATAGGTAGCCACACAACAGGGCTGTGGGGGTTTGAGGAGAGTTCAGACCCACAGCATATATCCCTGCCAGGGACACTATAGACTGTGCAGTATCACCTAACTTGCATTTGCATTTTATGGCCTTGGCATTGGAGCTTGGCATTTCCCTTTAGATTCAATCTATGTTTAGTTAGGATAATCCTTGGGAGAGACTGACAAGGATTCCCACTAGCAGAGAGACCCTTGGATATTTTTTGTGTAAAAATCATGGAATTGTATGAGAGTTTGGAGTAGGTTCCTGTAGCAGGAATCTTAATAGGTCTTATTAATAAAATCAAACCTGAGGCCAGTTATTGGGGTGAATGCTGGATGATCAGAGAAGCAGAACCAGCCACAGCTACCTCACCTCGCCAGTTCCTCAGCTGATCCTGTTTTTTCAGACTGGAAACCTCTGAGTCCTCATCCAGAATGAATCTCAGCTGAACTGTTGATGCAAAGCCTGAAAGCTTAATCAGCCAAAAGCTTCTAGTTTCTGGTCTTCACGCCTTATATACCTTTCTGCTATCTGCCATCACTCCCTGGGATTAAAGGTGTAAGTCACCATGATTGGCTATTTCCAGTGTGGCCTTGAACTCACAGAGATCCATGCCTCCAGAAAGCTAGGATTAAAGGTGTGAGTCCCACCATTTTCTAGTGTCTGTATGTAGTGGCTGTTCTGTTCTCTGACCCCAGATAAGTTTATTAGGGTGCACAATATTTTGGGGAACACAATACCACCACATTTCCCCCTTTTTTTGTCTAAAATTAAAAAAAGCTTATAACTAATACAAGAAAAACTATATCCAATAAGTATGTACAATATATACAGTCAAGAATTACATTAACAATGTCTAGTCCATTAACATTTGAAAGATTCAGATGAAAAACTCCATTATATATATAAACAATGTCCAATCCAGTAATATTTGATAAACTCAGCCAAAAACTTTCATTACTTATCCTATTTAAAACAAGTAGTTCCTTTTTAAAAGTAGATTCAAAAATTGACCTTTTTATCTTATATT